ATAAAGAAAGATCATTTCTAATATTTTCTAACCAAATCTTTTTAGGTCTACCTCTACCTTTCTTAATATAAGTCAAATCTAATACCTCTATTTTCCTAACCGGGTCATGGGAGGCCGCCTTTTTATGTGACCAAAGCATCTAAGGCAACTCTGTGAGACCTCGTTCCCTTACTGTTCCTCTATGATTTGGATTTTCCTCTCTGGATCGTCCGGGACGATAGTGGGATTGTCCAGGCCGATCTGCACTGTAGAAAATATCGGCCGAAGAATAGTTCTGGGGACCGTCCAGGACGATATTTGTTGGTCTGATCGTCCCGGGACGATCTGGCGATCGGCCGGGCCGATCTGCTTTATGATATAAGAAAATCTGGTCGTTTTGATGAGAGAGAAAATCATTTTTAAATCAAAATATCTGTTTTAGAGAGAGAAAGAGAAAGGGAAAAAGAGGAAAGCTGGATTTTGGAGGCCGCGGAGCGCTTTTCGTCCGATGAATCCTTTCACTATATGTGGTTAAAATTTTCAGGTCCGAGCTTGGCAACTGGAATGGAGTTCGATCAGAATGTTAGACGAATCCTTTCACTATTGATTTTTGGGGCATCACAAACTCTCTCTAATCTTATCCTCCACTGGAGCTACTCCAACCTTTTCACGTATATGCTCCTTTCAAATCCTATCTCTAAGGGTAAAGTCACTCATCCACCTGAGCATCCTCATCTCTGCAACACCTAACTTAGTATTATGCTTCTCTTTTAATGGCCTAGTGGAATAATGGTGTAGTGTACCATAAATTGATGTGTTTAACTCAATAATATTATATATGAGTTTTTTCATAGAACTTTTATTTGGTCAGGACAACTGATGTAGTTCTACATCCGGACGCCAATAACATGTCGTCATGTGCTCTTACTCTTTACCGCGCGGCCCGACGACGCGACCTGGACCGGAACCTGGTATTGCTATGTTTATGTATTGCTAGGTATTACTTGGCAATAACGAGAAATACCGCTCTTTCAAGACCAATACCGATTAATACCGAGCAATACCGAGAAATATCGAGCAATACCTAACAAAACCGGAGAATTGCTCGGTATTGCTCGGTATTGGTCTTGACAGAATGGTATTTCTCGTTATTGTCGAGCAATACCGAGCAATACCTAGCATACCCCGGTCTGCACAAATCAGCCAATACATAGCAATACCGGGTCCGAGTCTGGGTGGGTCGTCGGGCCACGCGGTAAAGAATAAGAACACGTGGCGACATGTTATTGGCGTCCGGATGTAGAACTACGTTAGTTGGCACGTCAAAAACAAGATAAGAACACCTGACCTAATAATTGTTCCTTTTCATAAGGCAAAACAAGAAATATATCAACCTGGTTGCACGCCAAAAAGGAATAAATCTTTTTTCATAATCTAACTTTACCAAAACAACTGGCTCAGAAAGTTGTTCAAACATTTTCTCCATCTTACAATGTAATACAACTAATATGATGTAGAGGATCAGTTTTTTCCCTATTTGTTGATATTTATTGATGTAAGATGAATCAGGGTGTGCCTCTGTAATACAACTATATGATTTATAGGATTATTTGACAAGAATAAGGCCAAAATAATAACTCTAGCTTATAAAATAAGCAGAAACAACAATAGCTATATACTCTCCCATAGCTTCATTATATGACTCATAGATTTGATTTTTGTATAGCTAGATCAAATATTGAATATCTCATATATTTTAAAATAAATATAGTAGTAGAATGGAGAATAGAACATAATACTATGACTCATGTAATGCGGAATGTTCACAATCAATTGTTTATCTTCTATTATAATGATCGGAAGTATATGTTTTATAATGATTTTTAAGACATGCCACCACGCATAAGAAGACATGGTAGAAATATAGGCTGCAACCAACAAAGTGAAGTTGAAATAAATGTTCCAAGAAATAACATTGGAAGTTTTTTTGCAGGTTTGCCTCTTATTTCAGATATTATCAAAACTTTCTATGCTTATTTTAAATTTGAATTTATCTTAATTCGATGATTTTAATTTTAAGATATTTTTTCATAGCAGGTGGTAACAATGAGGAGCAAAAATGAAAAAGAGGATTAACCTATATGTGCAGTATTTTGGGATATCATGTTAGCCAATATTGTGGAGAGTGAGTTGTTATTAATTTTAATAAATATGGTCAACCTATTGGATAAAAAAAATAAAGCAGACTATGCACTAAAATTAAATAAAAACTATAAATAAGTAAATAAGTATTTCATATATTTAAGTAGAAAGAAATAGATTTTCCTCAAGCCCATATACCTCCCATAAGAAATAAGCTCTCTTGACTCTTCCATGCTAGCATAGTAGAAAACGGACACGTATAAATCCTAATATTTAGCATGTATCTTATCTTAAAAAATTCATAGCATTATGACTCTCCTGCATTTAGCACATCAGAACTTCCTCCAATGTTAGATATCCTCATAATCACACATTTCAAAACATATGCACACATATTATTGTAATACATTAAATACATTATAAATACATCATCTTGTGGAAATTTATAGTGAGCTATAGCAAAAGCCTACAATTTTAACAACTAAAGCATAAATATGGTATTTTAGAAATTCACCAGCTTACCAGAGATTGTCAAAAATTTCATTTTAAATCTTTTATTGAAATACAACTATATTTTTTAGAGCTATAATTATTTTCTAATTTGACAAAAATAGTGTATTTTTCAAAATAATGGTGGAAATTTTCTAGATAAATACCTAAATATCCATAAATGTTATATCTTCAACATATATAAAGTTACACGATAAAAATTTTATGGGTACAAAGTTATTCTCATTTATTCTCAATAAAATTATAAATTAAATCAGGAAAAATCCAATATCTTGTATTTTTTAAAACTGAGATAAGTTAAATGTAACCTATTTCAATTCGGACAATTTTTTTGAACTGAGTCAGACAACAAAAAATGAACCGGAAGTGTCCAAAACCCAAATTTCTCTCACTAAAAAATCTCTCTCTATCTAAACAACTAAAAGGAGGGGTTTTTTTATGAAATGGGATGTGAATGGATTTTGATATTTTTATAAAAATTTGACCAAGTGCCACAACGCTTGACCCTACGACGTTGTAGCTCTTCCCATTAAAGAGCACAACGCTGCATGGTTGCAATCTTAATTCATTTTCCAAAAAATTTCGGGAGTGTTCAATGTCAGCGCTGCCAAACCAATGTTGTAGTTCTCCTAAGTAAAAAATTCCAAAGTTAACAAGCATGCTCATAGATCCCTAGACCAACTTCAAAATAAATTTAGACACTTAGCATTAAAACACTCATAAACATAAACATAAGACATGAATATATAAACTTAAGTGGGTTACCCTTACGAGTCGGTGTAATAATAGGTGTAACTTTGTGTTGATACAGCAAGTATTATAATTTACCTGATCTTCTGTTATTATAGCAGAGATTATATGAGAAATATTGAATGGGTGATAATGATAAACATATGTTGTAGTTAGATAATAGTGGAAATGAAAATGGTTTGAAGATGTTAATCGAACGATAAGTGTTGACCTCACTTTCATCTTGCTTGAGCTCAACCATCACACATACAATTATATTAACTTTAAGCCCTTCCTAGTTCGATCATCACATTACCACATGAGCTTAATGATTTGAACATGAATCTCCCAATTAGGACCACTTCCTAATCGCACATATATGCCCTCGCTTCACACAATTTCATATATTATCATGATTGTGATCTTCCGTCAATCTCACATCTCATTGGGATCAATATCTTCAATTGATTATTTGCATCTCATTGTGATCCTAGTCCTAATTCAACATCATATGTCGTGTCATGGTTGTGATCTTTGTTTAATTGTTTTAATTGACCAAATCAATACAATAAATTAGAAATTCACATTACGATCATTTTAAAATTCAACAATATTTGTAAATTCAAATGGGTTGAGTTTTAAAGTAATTTTAAATAAGCATGGCAAGGAAAATTTGTAATAAAATTTGTGTGTTTAGTCTCCTTTCCTTAAAGGAGAATGATCAGATTAATCATGAATGATTTTTTTGAAGATAACCCAAATCCCTAAAAGCTCCCCCAACTTCCACAATGAACCATCATCCTTTACAATTCATGTTTACTATATTATATCAATGCATTCTCACATTATGTGAGACGATATGGTTATAATTTATGTCATATACTAGTTGAATCATTTCTACTGGGTCATCTTGTGGCTTATCTCCTTTTCAAGTTATATTTTTATCTTTTATTTTTTATTTTTTTATCATGCAATAATGTTTAAATGAAATGTATTAGTAAGTAAATCAATAAAGTAAATATAAGCCATAAAGTAATTTAGGACACAAGATATTTATGTAGTTCTAATGCCTAATCCACTTACATTCACCCCTATGCTTCCCCTTGTTAAAGATTATACTATCAAACTTAACACCGTTAAGTCCATTTCCTTCATTTAACAACTAAGAGGAGAAACCTAAAAAAAAAAAAAGTAAGAGGAGAAACCTCCTTAGGGCATCTCCATCCGAACGGCAAACCAGTGTTTGCCGTTCTTTCTTTCCTCCAACAGAACGCGATACTTGCCGGCATTTGAAGGGAGGAGAATAGTGCGACGCTGTTCATACGGCATTTGTTTTTTTTTTGTTTTTTTTTCTTTTAATTCGAAATTTAATTATTAATTTTAAAGATTAAAGATTAGAATTTTTTATTATTAATTAAAATAATAAATTAGAAATATCTTATTTTTTAGTAATCTTTTTTTTTTCAAAATTAATTAATGTAAGTTAACATTAAGATAAAAATTAAGATAAAATTCTCATACATAAAAGATATTGAGAAGTACAATACCCAAAAAAAATCAAAATACAGATTACATTCGAATAACAAAAAATTAAAATAACAAGTAACAACAATCTAATAATCGGGAAGATTGGTATCGACTCAGCCAAGATCACTGAGATATTGTCCAAATGAGCTTGAAGAAGGAGGTTGCTGTTGATGTTGTTGTTGTTCGAACCTCTTTTCTAAAATTCGGGCTTGTTCAGCTTGGAAAAATTCACGAACATCAGGATTTTGTATAGAACTTAAGTCTTGAAACAAGATCTTATTTTCTTCTTTGAGTTCTTTTAAAGCATAGTTCTTATTTTGAAGCTCCAAATGTTGTTGTCTCTGTGCGCTTGTTTTTTTTAATTGCTCAATAAGTTGTTTGTTTCCATCTTCTAGAGTTTTAATAAATGTTGACATCTCTTCATCAATTTTTCTTTTTAACTTGGCTTTCTTAACTCCAATCGTTCGTTCAGATTGTGAGCCACAAATATTATATTCTTCATCATCTAAATTGAGAGAAAATACAGAGAGTCCAGGAGATTGTTGTTTACCAGAATCAAGGGTTAGATTCTCTGACTCCGATGAGGCATACCCAAAGCTCGACATACGTGATGCCTTCCCAGCATTAGAATTACCATCTTGAAATTTTTCAAAATTTTTAATAATGTTCCAAACATGTTCAAACTTCCAACCTGCTTTGAACTTTTCGTCTCGCGCAAACAATAGTATAGCTTGATCTAACTATAAATCAATATACACAATTACAATTAAATAAGTTGTGAAATAAAAAATATATATTTTAGTAATAAATATAAATACTCACAATATCTTCATTTTAAGCACCACTAATATGTCTATTTTCAATCTGTCGAATGCATGTGTGCATCTTCCTTGTTGCTTTCTCGATAGTCTGAATTCGAGACTGAACAAATCTTTTTGAACGCACCTCCCAATTTTGGATTTTGGAATTATTATACTCTTCTTCTACTCGTGACCAAAAGTTATCCGATGATTGATATATACCCGTAATTGGGTCTTGGGAAATTTCCATGTAAATTCTGCATAAGAGCTTATCTTGCTCCTGAGAATATGCCGTTGATCTAATGGACATATTTTACAAAGACTTAATGGATGTAGAATACTAGTTACATGATATGCTTCTCACCCCTATTTATATAACAATACTTACACTTCTCAAGAAGCATTGCCTAGATATGACCATTCACAATAATGTGTCATATGAGATTCTTACACATCTCAAAAAGCATGGCCTAGATGTGACCATTCACAATAATGTGTCATATGAGATTCTTACACATCTCAAAAAGTATGGCCTACATGTAACCATTCATAATAATGTGTCATATGAGATTCTTACACATCTCAAGAAGCATTGCCTAGATGTGACCATTCACAATAATGTGTCATATGAGATTCTTACACATCTCAAAAAGCATGGCCTACATGTGACCATTCATAATAGTGTGTCATATGAGATTCTTGCACATCTCAAAAAGCATGGCCTAGATGTGACCATTCACAATAATGTGTCATATGAGATTCTTACACATCTCAAAAAGCATGGCCTACATGTGACCATTCATAATAGTGTGTCATATGAGATCCTTCCCCTATAAATAGTAGATTTTCATATCACATTAAAATCACATAAGCAATATGCATAATACATTTTCATCTTCTTCTTCCTCAGATGAAGAAGACACACTCCAAATGATAAATAGTTTACATGAAGAGGAATCAATGCTTCGTCGTGCGATAACAAATAACAATTTGATGATTCAATTCCTTCTTACACAACCTATTAACAACATCTCAGTGTGAGGCTCAGTTATAGGTCGTGCTTTTATCAACCGTGATCGAGAAGCTGCAGATCTTCGACTTTATCAAGATTACTTTTCAAGTAATCCAGTGTACAATGATACAATGTTCCGACGGAGATTTCGAATGTCTCGAAGATTATTTATGCGTGTCCTTGACGCAATAAAAGCACATAATATCTATTTTCAGCAACGAATTGATCGTGCCGGTAAGTTTGGTTTATCACCTTTCCAAAGGATGTTAGCATATGGATTACCCGCAGATGCTACAAATGAATATATTAGAATAGGTGAATCAACAACAATTGAAAGTGTGAAGAGGTTTTGTAGAGCAATAGTTCAGATATTTTCAGAACAATATTTAAGATCACCAACAGTCAATGATGTGGCTAGACTTCTTCACATTAATGAACAACGTGATTTTCCAAGAATGTTGGGAAGTTTAGATTGTATGCACTGGAAGTGGAAAAATTGTCCTATCGGGTGGGCTGGGCAATACACCGGACATACTGGATCACCTACAATTATTCTAAAAGCAGTGGCAGATTGTGATCTTTGGATATGGCATGCTTACTTTGGTATGTCTGGCACTAATAATGATATAAACGTGTTAGAGTCTTCCCACCTATTTGCTAATCTCACTCAAGGTATTGCTCCTCCCTGTTATTATGTCATTCAAGGAAAAGAATATAGGGGTTATTATTTGGCTGATAATATATATCTGAAATGGTCAACTATTGTTCAAACAATTCAAGAACCACGTACTCCAAAGAAACAATATTTTGCAATGAAACAGGAAGCATGTAGAAAAGATGTGGAACGTGCTTTTGGAACTCTCCAATCTCGTTTCGCAATTGTGGCAAGACCTGTACGTTTTTGGAGAAAAAATGTACTGCGTGATATTATGACTACATGCATAATTTTGCATAATATGATAATTGAAGATGAACGCAATCTCACTAGACCAGGTCAAGTTCCAAGAGAAGCGCCACCCCCGGATGTAGAAAAGGTGACGGATGAAAATATCCAATTTCAGGAATTTATCGCTCGCCATAAACAAATCAGAAACAAAGAGGCCCACATTGCACTGCGAAATGCTTTGATTGATCATTTGTGGGATCAATATACTAATACTAATGTTTAGTTGCCTTGTATTTTTCTCGTTCTTATTTATGTGTTCTAATGTAATTTTCAATTTATTAACTAAATATTTATTTATGACATATTTATATTCCAAATTATTTTATAGAGCAAAAAATATTTGTTTTAATTATATTAGATTTAATTAAAAAATTTGATAAATAATATTAATGATTAAAAATATATAAAATGAAATATTGGAAAGAATATACTTGGAATATTCTTTTTTGGTGTTAGAAAATGGAGTTCGATTGGAGACAAGTTACTGCATTTTGGTGTATTACTGCATTTTGGAGTGAAAAATGAGTTTTTCGGTTGGAGATGCCCTTACAACCTTCTCATTTTAAAGTCAAGGGAACTCAATTCTTATTGATGATAATTGGATGCATCATACACTCAATTTTTTATACAAAACTTAAATGATACAAAAGAAAATAAACTTGAAGTGTTCCAATAATTTGGATATGACTAAGGTTTCATTTAGGATGGCTTTCTGACTACTTCTTAAAATAGCTTTTTATATAAAAAATTTTAATTTTTGTACCAGAAAGCTACTTCAAGAAGCAATAAAAAAGCCGTCCCATACGAAGCTTAAGGCTTCATTTATGATAGCTTTCATATTGCTTTATTTTTTAGACAACAACCATAATTTATGTTTGGCCAGTCCTTTTTTATTGCTTTTAAAATTTTTTTACACTAAGAAGTTGCTTTCTACAATAGCTTTAAAAAGTTATTTCTCTATAGTAGTTTTACAAAATATTATGAAATCTGTCTCAAATGAACCCTAAATAAATTTCACCTATAAGATAAAAAGCAACATGATCTCTTACAAAAGGATTATTATTAGGGTCACAAACAAACTAAGTCGATCCGAGCATGTGCTTGTTCATATTTGATTTCATTTATTATCAACTTGTTCAAGCTCAATTTGAGCTTGTTTCGAACTTTTTTATTCATGTTTAGGCATGGTTAGTTTAAATTAATATTTTTTTATTCATTTAAATTAATAGATGTTCAGATTTGGTTCGTATTTTATTCATGTTTGATTTGTTTCGTACTTATCAAGTTTTAAACAAACGAGTTTTATTGAGTTATAAACTAACTTTACTTCAAGATGTTCATTCGCTTAACAAGCAAGGCTTATCGAACTTACTTAAAAAAATTAGAACGAGCATGTTCGCTAACATATATAGCGAGTATTTTAAAACTGCCAAATGAGCCCGTTCACAAACATATCTAGTGAGTATTTTTAAGCTACTAAATGAGCCTGTTTGCAAAAATATATAGCAAGGGTTTTTGAACTATCAAATAAGTTTGTTCTCGAATATATCTTGCAGTGTTTTCAAAGTACCGAATGAGATGGTGGAATATAACTAAATAAATTATAAAATAAAATTAGTTGTAATTAAATTATAAATAATATCAATTTAATAGATATTTATAATTTATTTTAATTAATTATATATTATAAGATATAATTACTTTTAAAACTTATCAATTAATAATTATTATATCATTATATTATATTAAATATAACATATTAATAATATGCATATTCATTATTTTTATAATCAAATATTAATAATATTTTTAAAGAGCTTATTGACAAGCTTTTTATTGAGCTTGTTCATGAATCACGAGCTTTAAATGATGTTGCTCATGAACATAAATGAGTCAAATACATAGTTGTTCAAACTTATTTATTTAAGCATCCAGTATTCCAAAAAATGGTCAAATTTGATTGTTTACTTGATCAAACGATAACTATCATCGAGCCTAGTTATGGGTAGTTTGTCGAATGCTCGGTTCCTTTGCAACTCTTATTATTGTGTGAACAATAAAAGAGCATTATAAATATTAAGGAACTTATGAGATTTGGTAAGAAAATCTTACTTAGAAAGGAAATAGATTTTATATGAACATTTGAATCTCTTAAAGACAACTTCTTAAATTAAGGTCAAAATAGGATAAAAAGCTACACTATTTCTAAATAATAATTGCTCATCAAACAATAAAAGAGCATTCTATATATTAAAGAACCTAAGAGATTTGAGGGAGAAGATTTTACTCAAAAATGGAAAAGATTTAGTTGAACAATTGGAACCTCTTAAAAAGGCCTACTTAAATTTAGCTCAAAATAGGATAAAACTACAAAATTATTGACAAAAGTATCTCTTAGTGAACAATAAAGCTATATTAAGGGAGTTATTATTAGGTGCGGAGTGCGGACGGGGAGAACTGTCCGTACAAGCATTGTTTGGCGCTAGGTACCGGCACTCGGTACTGCTAGGTACCCAGTGCTTGTGCTGACGGTGCGCACTCTGCACCTAATAATTTTTCATATTAAGAAAAGCATGAGATTTGTGTAAAAATTTTAGCCAGAAAAAGAAAAAAATGAACATTCAAAATTAGAGATGTCAATAAGGGTATGGTTAAAGTCCGTTTCGAATTAACCTAAAATAGATCTGTCCCGTTTAATAAATTGGTCAAAATGGTGGACCCAAATTTGACCCGCTAACAATCTAAATTATCCGAATCTGACTAGATAACTCCTTTTTTGATTAATTTTTTTTAACTAGCTAACTAAAGAGTTTAAGTAAATTGATAAAAAAATAAATAAATTATACCAAAAAAAAAAAGAAAAAAATATTAAACATATCACTTTTGGGTCAAACTAAGGTCACAGGTCAACTCGAACCCTTTCCGTTTATTAAACAGGTCAACCAGAATCCAAATTTTTTGGATCAGATTGATGGGTCCAATTATTTTTAACACCCTTATCCGAGATCTCTAAAGAAGATCTCTCCAAATTAAGCTCAAAACTTCATTTTCTTTTCTATTAATTTCTGAGAAAGTTAGATGTGTTTTTATAAGCAAATGGCGAATGCTAAGACAACCTGCAACTACTCTATACAAATATCAAAGCTCCATTAAATGTAAACAAGTCATTTTTCCTAACTACTAGACGATTGCACGGACAATCACTGATCATATGCAAGATTTGTTCAAAGCATGAGAAATCTGTATTTTAATCTCATCATTTGTCATATGTATGAGTATGGATTATAAAAAAATCAATATTTTAGGTTTAAGGATGGCACTAAAATAACTAGGGATGTAAGTGAGTTAAGCGACCTCGTGAACCGGCTCGAGCTTGACTTGATAAATGATATGTTAGCAGAGCTCAATAAGCTAACGAGTTAAGTTTGAGCCAGCCCCTCGACTCATTACTTTGCGAGCCGGAGCATTTAAAATATATTAATATAAAATACAATTAAAATATATTAACATTCATGATTTTAACGACAAAAATTATATTTCATTCTTATATAAAGTTATTCTTTATTATTTTGCTTCTAATTCTTCATTCTTTTTATCATTTTTTATAATAATTACTTGAGTAATAGTCATTTTCTCTCTTTCATTCAAACAAGCCCGCCTATGAGCCTGCTTGAGCTTGTAGAATAAAGCTTGAGTTTGAGCTCGAACTCGATTAATTAGTCAAGTTGATGTTCAAGCCGAGCTCAAGCCAAGAGTGACTCAAGCTCGACTTGACTCATTTACACACCTAAATATAACACCTTATTGGTTAAATGTCCAATAACGAATTCTTACCTTGTCATTTGGTGATCATATATGTACAATGAATAATTATATATATGATCTTAGGTCATAAGCATCATTGAGCATCATATGCATTATTTCATAATAAATTACTTTTAAAGAATCTGATAGAATTTATGTATACTTGCAAAGTCCAAATGAAATAGCCTATTATAGTTTGTCTATTCCCAGATTGAGATTCTAGGTAAAAAATGAATTCAAATCAACAATTTATATGCATGAACTTGAATTAGGTAACTTCAAATAGATCTTTCACTAAGTTTCATAAATATTAATATTGATTGTAGCTTCAAACAATCAAAATTTTAAATTAATATAATAAATATCATTATCTTCATAATAAGTGTTATTGCGTGCTAGAGCATTTACAGTGGTTAAGAGACAGAGAGTTTTAACATCTTAGCTTTGTGGTCAGACCCAACACACACACAAATAAGAGAGGAGTGCAATAATTATAAGATACACCAAAAAATTTTACGTAGAAAACTCAAGAAAGAGAAAAACTATGATTATTGATTCATTTAAAATGACTTTACTAGTATTTGTATTTCATTATAAGTGAAGCCCTTTGTCGGAGGAAGACATTGATATATAAACTATAAAGAACATATTATGTGGTCGAATTTAGAAGAACCATGTGGCATGAGAGGTATCTATAAGAGATTATTCACTTGCTTGTTATGTCATAGTGACTCATACCCCTTTGAGAAGAGGTGACCAAAAAGTCCAAAAAAAATCCTAGTGCTTAGTTTGGGAGTCAAAGTTGATATCGACGATGTGCATCTATCTTATTAATGATGTCGTCTTTCGGGCAATGGCCAATGTTTGTGCTCATGTGGTGCCTTAATATCCTAAGAACTCTCTTGAATCTCAAGAGAGAGTTTTGGCTCTAGTCCCAAGCTCTAAGTCCAAGCCCCGCCTCCCTAATAAATATGGAGAAAATCTAGAATACTTTATCAGATGACACTTATTAATTCCCTTGATCACGAGCATTCGTTCAAAATTTAGTTGTCTTAATGATGTTAGAATTAAACATTATGTAGGAAGTTTTTCACGAATAATATGTTCTGCATTTTTTCTCTGCAATGCTTAAATTTGATTATTTATTTATTAAAGATTTGAATAGGTTCAACGTGACCTAATGAGCAATTATTTGCTCATGCCTTCTATTCTGCATTCGTTTTAGGTCAAGATAAGGGAAAATGGTAGGTTGATTATAAAAATACCGTAGGTCCTAATATTTGTGTCAGTATAGACATGTTTTGTTAAATTATTGACAGTCATGGCTCTCTCTATTCTTTACCATGTTGTTTGTGACGTACATAATTTCTGGTTGATTGTTTTGATTGTATACATTTCTAAGATGAATAAAAAGGAGTTTGATAATGAGTATTTGTATAGTTAATGGAAGTTTTAGTGGCTTTGTAATTTATAAATTATATTGGAAATTCTACAACTCTCTCCAATCAGGACTTGGGAATTATATTTGTTGCGTCCTGAAATATTCACGACGATAGAGAACTATAAAGTTTAACGTCTTAGCATTGTAAGAAGATCCGACACACAATCAGATGAAAGAGATGGTGTAACGTTTATAAGAGACATCAAAGTTTTTACGTGGAAACCCATAAAAAGAGAGAAAAACCAAGGGCTTTGCCTGGTTTGAATGAATCCACTATTATTTGCAGTTGATTACAAATGGGGCCCTTGCTTGGGGGGTAGGCCTTGATTTGATGTAGCAAACATACATTATATTACATGATGGAAATTGAAAGAATTAGTATTGAAATATTCAGTTAGTTAGTGGGCGACGAAGATCAGAAAGATCGTAGTCTAATGACGGTGGATGGAAGGACAATTGTTTTTCGAGAGAGGTCGTTCCGAGGACTGTAGTCGACAAGAAACAATGGTTAGAAAAATTGTAATCTGGCGAGTTGGCGGGAGACAGTGGTAAGAAAGACTGTAGTTTGGTGACAGTGATCGGAAGGACTGTTGTCTGGCGAGGAAGGTCAAAAGCACCATAGTCGGCAGAAGACATGGATCAGAAAGACCATTATCTGATGATGAAGATCGGAAGGACTGTAGTTGGTAGGAGATAGGGCTCAGAAAGAACGTTGTCTAGCGATGGAGGTTGGAAGGACCGTAGTAGGCTATAGAGGTCACATGACCGTAGTCGGCAGAAGAAAGGTTCAAAAAGACAATTATCTGACAATGGAGGTCGGAAAGACCGTAGTAGGCGACAGAGGTCAAAAGAAGTGTAGTAGGGGACAGAGGTTAGAAGGATCATAGTTGGTAGGAGATAGGGGTCAGAAAGATCATTGTCATAAGCTGGTTGTCAGGCAGAAGTCTAGGCATTATTCTGTGGTATGGCGAAACTCTGGTCGTAAGGTGGTGGTCCAGCGAAACTCTGAGCATCAGGTGGTGGTCCAACGGAACTCCAGCGTCATATTGTGGTTCGGCATAACTCAGGGCGTCAGGTGGTGGTTCGGCAAAACTCCGGGCGTCAGGTGGTGGCTCGATGTAACTTTGGGCATTATGTGGTTGTCCGGTGGAACTCTGTGCATCAGGTGGTGGTCTGGCGGAATTACGAGAGTTAGGAGGTGGTTCGACATAATTCTAACGTCAGGTGGTGGTTTGGCAGAACTCCGGGCGTTAGGTGGTGGTCCAACATAACTCCTGGCATCAGGTGGTGGTCTGACGAAACTTCGGGCATTAGGTCGTGGTTCGACGAAACTCCAGGTGTTAGGTCGTGGTCCGACGGAACTCTAGGCGGTGGTCGAGGACGAGCTAGGGGGTAAGAGTGATCTACAATCTCTCTTTTCCTCTCTTGCTCTCTTGCTTGAGGCTCCTTTTCATGAGAAAAGGGGGCTCTATTTATAGATTTTTTAGAGTGACATGGCTGTAAATAGGAGGAAGTTCAATGGTAAATGTGTAGTAGTTTGGATGGGCGGTCGATGTTGAGTCCTTCGATCGTGGATTGTTTACTAGGCCTTTAAATGTCTTAGTGATATCAAAATTCAGTGATCTTGGGCTCATTGGATTCGTCTCGTCCAGTTGCTTGATTTAACTATAAGCATGTCATGTTTGGAAACCATTTGGTAGTCCAAATTGTGGTTCAAAAGTGTTTTGGTTCCTTGATTTGGACCCATTTGGGCTTGGGTTGAGTCCAATTTGGGCTTATTAAGGTTCATTGTTCTAAATTCTATTATTCTAATACACCACCCACATTCATCACTCGGCACGGCAACCTTCAACTGCAGCGTGGCATAAGACCGACACGTGGCAGTCATACACGTGCCCTCGTCATTACATCCAAGAAAAAAGCTCCATTTGGTCGGCAATGATCATCTATACCCATTCCTATCCATTACAATATCACCTAAACCCCATAAGTTAAAATACTTATCGACAACACAGATCACTCTCATATGTACGAGAGATTATTACGTGCGATCATCGAATCATTCAAATATCAATCATGATGTATCACATCACTTAATATATAATGATATATAATAACGGTACATAACATATAAATGATGTGACATATCCTAATTGACCTATGAACGACGCCGAGAGATAACACTTAATAATTTCGCCATCTGCACATATAAGATTGTCCATATCAAACCTTACATAAAAATAAAGTTTTAATAGGAAAAAAAAAAAAGAACAACTAAGTAAGGATTAACCAAGTAAAATTTGGATTGGGTCAACCCAATGGCTCATTAAAATAAAATAAGAAAATAATAAACGAATTGATTCTTTTTTATGAAAATAATAATAATAATCATTATTATTATTGACATAGCTCATCTTAATTTATTGCTTAGAAACGTTGACTACTAATAAAGATGTCTTAAATTTGAAGCAATTGTATGCAGTATATGCAAATTTGTCTTAATTGCTCAAATAACCAAAAAAATAACAAAATTATTGATTTTTGTGCTAGAATGTACAAATAATATAATTATATTAATTTTAAATCAAAATTACACTAATTTACCACAATTTAAATATTTTAAGTATCATTTTAAAGTAGATTGAATTTTTTTTTAGTCAGATTCAACTGGAAATTTTTATTATATTCGTGTTTGATCATGTGTAGCGATATATATGATATTTTCTATATTTGTGCCAAAAATTTTCATGCTATGTCAATTCAATCAAAACCTATTGTATCAAATTATCTTAGTACAAATTATAATGAATTATCATGTAAATTATTAAATTTATTTTAAAATGAATATAAACTAAATTTAATAATTTTTATACAAATATAGGATATATCATTCAAACAAATATAAAATAACGTTTAAACAAACAATTCTAATATAATAAGTCATATCACCCTCTCCATTATCTTACCAGTTTAATATTGTACCACGACGAGTTCAATCCTCGATTTCTCCACCAATTTGCTTGTTTTATAACTCATCTCAAGCAATGCAGCAGAAATCGAATACAGCCGTGTAGAATATTCAAAGCAGATTAGAAGACAAAACAAGCTTCAATTGGATAACAAAATAACCAGTAGAAGAAACCCCAATTCCATTCGCATTCGGGTCCACTGTGATGAAAACCCTGGATCTTAGGAGGAAGAGAAGGCGACCCAATACGAAAAGAGAATCACACAAAAAGGCAATTAAAAGGGAATCGCATATATAAACATGCCTATTAATGAACTACGACTCCGGCGAGGGCCTGCCGCTGCCGGGCTCTTCAACCGCCGCATACCACCCTCTAGGCCCCGCCCCCTCCTCTGCCAAGGATAAATCATCAGCCTTCCTGAACGAAGCGTGCACCAAAACAACAACGACGCCAACGAGCAGAGAAATTAGGATATTGGCAGTGGCATCCGTAAGAAGCAGAAGCACGAGGGTTACAATCGAGAGCCCGATGAGCACGAATCGGTCGTCGATGGTCCGACCGAGGAGCGCAACAGGCTCGTCGCGGAGGAAATAGAGGAAGAGCCAAAAAGCCATCATGAGGATGAAGACGATTAGTGACACGGGGTGCCAAAGCAGGCTGAGGAAGACGACGAGGAGAAGGAAGATGATGTAGTTCATAGCGAAGTAGATCGCGTTGCTGCGGATCCGGAGGTAGGCCTCGCCTAGGCTTGGGGGAAGCGAGAAATAGTGGAAATAGAATAGCTCGCGCCATGGCCGGCGAGTTGCGAGGGCGGATCGACCGCGTGCCTTGGCCCGGGAGAAGAAACCCTGCGGCGATGAATCACCGGAGGTGGAGGTGGGGATTGTGCCGTAGTTCGTCATCGTCACCTCGATCGGTATTGGAGGGTTTGGTCCGTCGGTTTGGGTTTTTATGTTTGGAATGGGGAAATGCGGTATTTATACTTTTTGTTAATCAAATAATCCTGCGTGCTAAAAATTTAGGTATATTTAAGAAGAAATTAAGTGCGGAGTCCGAATGTAGCAATGGAATTATGACACTTAGATTATACATGTTGAAATTTAGGTTTTATTTTGGACGGCTTTTTTATTTTTTTTTAAAATAAATTTTGTAGTAAAAAATTTAATTTTTTACTAAAACACTGTGTTAAGAAGCAGGAAAAAAATCGCCCCAAGCGAAGCCTTAATAATATATATTTTTTAATACTTGTAGCCTGATAACCTGACCCAATCCAGAGAAAAAAATTATCAATTCGAAGTAGATCAAAAGTTGCAGCATCATTTCAATTTATCTTTGAATTCATCTTTCATCTTCGAACAAGCATTGGAGTTGGTTCACTGTTCATCTTCGAACTAGCATAGTTCTCATTCAGGCACTCTGTTATCTCCTTAAGATCATCATCTTTGAACAATGTTAGTTTGTCATTCTCGTTCATTTCATCT